GGCCTCTATCCTCTGAAAAATTAGAGGCTGTCACAAGATTAGTGCAAGAACAGGAACGGCTGGGGCATCTAGAGCCTTCTACCTCCCCATGGAATACACCAATTTTTGTTATTAAGAAGAAATCTGGGAAGTGGAGATTACTCCACGACCTGCGGGCCATTAACAATCAGATGCATCTTTTTGGCCCTGTTCAAAGAGGCCTTCCTTTGCTTTCTGCACTTCCTCAAGATTGGAAGCTTATTATTATAGATATTAAGGATTGTTTCTTCTCTATTCCACTTTACCCACGGGATAGACCAAGGTTTGCCTTCACTATCCCTTCTCTTAATCATATGGAACCAGACAAGAGATTTCAGTGGAAGGTACTGCCGCAAGGCATGGCCAATAGCCCAACAATATGTCAGCTATATGTGCAGGAGGCTTTGGAGCCAATTAGGAAGCAATTTACATCTTTAATCGTTATCCATTATATGGACGATATTCTTATTTGTCACAAAGAGTTAGATGTTTTACAAAAGGCTTTTCCCATGCTGGTGGCTGAATTAAAACAGTGGGGATTAGAGATTGCCTCAGAAAAGGTTCAAATTGCAGATACAGGCCTCTTTTTGGGCTCAAAGATTACTCCCAAAAATATAGTTCCTCAGAAAATAGAAATTCGCAAAGACCACTTACAAACATTAAATGATTTTCAGAAACTTCTGGGAGATATAAATTGGTTGAGGCCCTTTTTAAAAATTCCATCTGCTGATCTAAAACCCCTCTTCGATCTCCTGGAGGGTGAGCCTCATATCTCCTCACCCAGAAAATTTACCCCTGCCGCCCACCGAGCCTTACAGATGGTGGAAGAGGCCTTACAGGAAGCACAATTACAACGAATTGAGGAGTCACTACCTTTTAATCTGTGTGTTTTTAAGACAGCTCAATTGCCAACTGCAGTCCTGTGGCAACATGGACCATTACTTTGGATTCATCCAAATGCTTCCCCTGCTAAGATTATTGACTGGTACCCTGATGCTGTTGCACAGCTCGCGCTTCGCGGAATAAAAGCAGCTGTTACACATTTTGGCAGGGATCCTGATTCCTTGATTGTGCCTTATACTGCTGCACAAGTTCAGACCTTGGCAGCCACATCTAGTGATTGGGCAGTTTTAGTTACTTCCTTTTCAGGACAAATTGATAATCATTTTCCAAAGCATCCAATTTTACAGTTTGCCCTAAACCAGGCTATAGTGTTTCCACAAGTGACAGCTAAAGACCCACTCCCAGATGGGACTGTGGTGTACACTGATGGATCAAAAACTGGTATGGGAGCTTATGTGGTCAAGGATAGGGTTATATCTAAACAATATAATGAAACTTCACCTCAAGTTGTAGAATGTCTGATAGTACTGGAGGTTCTTGAGGCTTTTCCAGGACCCCTCAATATTGTATCAGATTCCTCTTATGTGGTTAATGCAGTTAATCTCCTTGAGATAGCTGGAATAATAAGATCCTCCAGCAGAGTTGCTAACATCTTTCAGAAGATACAAGCTGCCTTGTTAAATAGGAGATTTCCTGTTTTCATTACCCATGTCCGAGCACATTCTGGACTCCCAGGTCCCATGTCCTTAGGGAATGACTTAGCGGACAAGGCTACAAAGCTGGTGGCCGCTGCCTTGTCTACCCATGCACAAGCAGCAAAAGAATTCCATAAGCGCTTTCATGTGACGGCTGAGACCTTGCGCCGTCGTTTTGCTCTATCCAGGAAAGAGGCTAGGGAAATTGTTACTCAATGCCAGAATTGCTGCGAATTCTTACCTACTCCCCACATGGGAATAAACCCACGTGGCATTAGACCATTGCAGATGTGGCAGATGGATGTTACTCATATTCCCTCTTTTGGAAGGCTTCAATATGTTCATGTTTCTGTTGACACCTGTTCTGGCGTAATGTTTGCCACACCCCTAACAGGGGAAAAGGCCTCATATGTGATTCAACATTGCCTTGAGGCCTGGAGTGCTTGGGGAAAACCCAGAATTTTAAAAACAGACAATGGACCAGCATATACCTCTCAAAAATTCCGACAGTTTTGTCGGCAAATGGATGTTACCCATCTAACTGGCCTACCTTATAACCCTCAAGGACAGGGCATTGTGGAACGTGCCCATCGTACACTCAAATCATATCTGATTAAACAAAAGGGGAGTATTGAGGATGTTCTACCCTCGGTACCAAGAGTTGCTGTATCCATGGCACTTTTTACCCTTAATTTCTTGAACTGTGATGCCCAAGGCCACACTGCGGCTGATCGCCACAGTTTAGAGCCTGATAGGCCAAAAGAAATGGTAAAATGGAAAGATGTCTTGACTGATCTCTGGAAAGGCCCGGATCCTATTCTTATAAGATCCAGGGGAGCTGTGTGTGTTTTTCCACAGGAGGAAGAAAACCCCCTGTGGATCCCTGAAAGACTCACTCGAAGAGCTCCTTCACAACTCCAGAATAAGAAGGATGGAGGCCAAGTGGGTGATGAAGACTCTCCTACTCGGGATGATGGTTCCTAGTATGATGGGAGAGTTACGGTGGGCCATCATGTCTACCTTCCCCTACCGATGCCAGTGATGCAGAATGCCCAGGTGTTCCCTAGATTTTTCACAAATAATAGAGAGTTGGGGCTTGCCTTTTTGCCTTTAGATCCTCAGATACAGAGTTTTCAGGATGAGAGAACCTTGTCATTAGTAGGAAGCTTGTGCTTTACTGTGATTTCTTCATTAAAGGATAATTTTATTCATATGGATCCAGAAAGATCTAATGCTAATCCTTTTGAATTAATGGAAGCTGTACTGATCTTTCTCCTATGATAGTGAGAAGGGACAGATTACTTTTGATTGGAAAGGGGCATTAGGCAACAGTCTGAGTGAGGGACAGAGCTATGGATCATCTGATTGGTCCTCCTCCAATGTTAAGTATACCCCTTTTAAGAGAACTAATTATTCAGCTGCCCTTTATTTGGGTTGTGAGTAATGATACCTTAGGTAAGAATCAGAAAGAAATAAATTGTTCTGCTTAGAATTGTTTTTATGCATTATGCTGGGATGCTATTAAGCACCCTTTTGCTTTGGTAATGCGCATGCCTCGATTTATTCCAGCTCCTGTTGAGACGCCAAGTAATTTGAGTTTGTTTAGGAAAAGCGAGATTTTTGGGATCTCTGCTATTATTGTGGGCCTGATAGCCACCGCCGCGGTTACTGCTTCGGTTACCGCCTCGGCCCTTGCACTTTCTGCCACTGTGCAGACAACTCAAACCATTAATGAACTATAGGCCACTGTGACCATGGTCCTAGATAAACAGGCCACTGCCAATTCTCAGATACAAGGAGGCCTGATGTTGGTAAACCAACAGATTAATTTGGTTCAGGAACAATTGGATATATTGTGGCAGATGGCCAAATTGGGATGTGAACAAAGTTGCCTGGCCTTTGTGTCACTTAGTACAATATGAGAATTTTACAAGAGCAGCTAACCTGTCACAAGCTCTGTCTCAACATTTATTACAGAATTGGACTTTTGAGTTTGAGCAGACACTCCGTGAGTTGAGAATGGCGATCCTGCAAGTGAATTCGACGCATCTGGATCTTTCTCTGATGGAAGACCTCTCCCCTGGATTTCATCTGCATTTTCTTATTTTAAGGAATGGGTGGGGGTAGGATCATTTAGCCTAGTTCTCTGCTGTGGAATAGTGTTGATGCTTTGGATGGTGTGTACGCTCAGAGCCCAAACAAAAGGAGAAAGTGGTGGTGGCACAAGCACTTGCTGCCTTAGAACACGGAGCCTCCCTGACATTTGGTTAACCATGTTAAAGCAATAGGTCGCTGGCCTCCCAGCTCTTGCACCCCACGAGGCTAGTCTCATTGCACGGGATAGAGTGGGTAGGCTTCAGCAGCCCAAGGAGTTGCAAGGCTAAGCACTGCACAGGAGAGGTCTGCGGTATAACGACTTTCTCCTGGGAGATAAGTCATCTTGCATGAAGGTTCTATGTCATGATCTCCTTCCCCCAGAAAAAAGACATCGGACTGGTCAGGACTTCCTCTGGGGATAAGACCCTGGAGAGGAGCTTTGTACATGTTCCGAATTTGCACATGGGGATTTGACCTCTATCTCCACTCCAAAGTTGTGGGTGTCCTATTGCTTCAAAAATAAATGAATAGGGGAGATGTGAGGAGCCGCCCTCGCTATCGCTATTGCCGTTAGAAGATGGCGCTGACATCCACTGTCAGTTGGAGTTAACTGTCGCTGTCAGTTGGAGTTAACTGTCGCTGTCAGTTGGAGTTAACTGTCGCTGTCAGTTGGAGTTAACTGTCGCTGTCAGTTGGAGTTAACTGTCGCTGTCAGTTAGAGTTAACTGTCGCTGTCAGTTGGAGTTAACCGTTTAAACTGTGCCTCTCCCGTGACGTCATCTGGGGTGATGTGCAAACCACCAATCCCGGCTCTACACGTCTCACTCGGAGCTCCTAGGCTTATATAAGGGGCTGGGTTTCTTAGCTTGGGGTCTCCCTCTAAGAAGCTGATCATCTATCTCTCAAGATGCATTAAAGCTTTACTGCAGAAGGATCCGAGTGTTCTGCGTCGTTCTTGCTGGCGAGACGGTAGCGCGGGACACCAGGGTACTTCCTGCCCGCACTCCCCCAGGCTGGGGACTGTTGGATGTGGTTAGAGGCCACTCCTGACTTTTTACATGGGTGTTGGGGATTCGAACTCAGGTCCTCAGGTTTCTGTAGCACACATTCTTACCCATAGAGTCACCAACCCAGCTTAACTTTCCTTGAGCTTCAGGTTCCATTTCTGAAAAAATGGAGACCATAACGATCTTTGATTGTGCAGTTCGATCGAAGACTGGGTGCTGATTGAAATCTCGCTCACCTAGTTATGGAAAGTTCAAAATATGTGTTAAGGACCCAGGATGTAAAATTTGCTTTGCTGTTCAGGAGCAAATGCTTGCTGGGGCACCCCCAGCTTGGTAGACATCTCCTCCGCCCTGGACCTCTGAGGGTTAAAAAGAAAGACCCACGCCCCCTCTGACTGCAGAGCCCACCTCGCTGAATTTGAAAAGGCGGCCCTGAAGAGGCGTGGGCGCCCCCCAGACGATTTCCACCTCAGACCCTGACTTCACACCATCACCGGCTAGCTCCCTGTGCTCCAGCCGGGGCCGCAGGATAGGTCCAGCCATCTGGGGGCACTCCTGATTGTCCCCAGCTCCCGGCACTCCGGGTCCTCGCGGGCGAGCCGGGCAAAATGAAGCTCGTTTTGCTGCTACCATGGGCGTGCTGCTGCTTGTGCGGGTCGTCGCTGGCCACCGGCTTCCTCTACCCTTTTCCGGCAGCAGCCTTGCAGCAGCACGGCTACCCGGAGCAGGGCGCCGGCTCTCCTGGCAACGGCTACTCGAGTCGCCGGTGAGTAACGCCGGGCGCCGGGCCTGGGGGAGCGTGGCTGGATCCAGGGACAGCCGAGGCTCGGAAGAGCCGTGGTCCTGTACTGGGGATGCAGGACAGTGGGCCAGGGGCGCGGGGGGCGGGGGACTGGTTCCAGGGACATCGGAGGCTGTGAGGAGCATTGACTGGGTGCTGGGTTGGGGGGTGCGGGATCGCGGACCAAGGACTGGATCGAGAGACTGAGGATCACAGAGAAACTGTGGTCGAGGGTTGGGAGGACAGAGGCTCCAAGGCTTGAGGGCCGGGCGAGGGACAACAGAGGGTCCGAGGAACGGTGGCCTGTTGTTGGGGGTCTTGAGGCGTGGGGCTCGGGTCTCCTCGGAGCTGGATCGCCGGACAGTGGGGACTCCGAGGCACGGTGGCTGGGCGCTGGGGGTGTGCAGGAGCTGGATCCACGGACAGTGAGGACTCCGAGGCGCGGTGGTCGGTGTTAGGGAACTCAGAACACAGGGGCGTGAGAATTAGCGCCAGTGTGCGCTCCAGGGCTCCGTGACCCCGCGCTGAGTGCTCCGGGCTTGGAGATGCACCACGGAGAATATGAGGTGTAGTGGCCCAGTGGCTGGGAAGGAGGGACATCGGGTTCGCAGCACGAGGCCTGGGCGCGCGGAGACTGAAAGCGAGATGGGGGGACAGTGGGGTGGCCTCCGAGGCACAGTGGCCCGATGCTGTGGACGCAGGCCTGGGCTCTGGGGATGGCTAGAACGCACGACGGTAGAAGCCTTGTGGTCGGGTTCAGGGGGTGGGAACGAAGACTACGGTCACGTGCAGGTGCCCGGGCGCCAGCTTGTGTTAGAGGGGTGTTGGGAGCGCGGCGCCCCCGGAGCCCCGGCTTTGGTGGTCTCCGGGTGCGCCCACTCCGTCTCTTCCCATTCTGTTTTTTTTTTTTTTTTTTTGTTTTGTTTTGTTTTTTGATTTTGCCCCTCAGCCAGGGGCTTCAAATGGAGATGGCACCGACTCGCATCCAGGGGTCGTAGAGGTAATTCCTCGGACTCACAAGACTCGGGGTTCAGCCTCCACGAAGCTGCCGGGCTCACCTGCACGGCCTTGGCTTTGTGTTCCACAGTTCCCAGAGTTACCAAGGCCGTTGAGTCCTTTTGGCCGCGCGGCGACACTGAAGAGGCCGTTTTATCTGGCCTTTGGGGCCCGAAGCCACCTTGGCGGCAACTTCCCATTCACTCCGGTATGTGGTACCCACCGGGATCCCGGGCTCCGGTGTAGGCACAGAGGAGGCAACCGGTCACTCGACCCTTAGTGCCTGGACCCGCCTGCTGCCTCCATCTACCGCCAGGTGGCGCGCTGGCCTCCCCCGGTGGCTTAAGGCTAACTCTTGCAGGCTTTTGAATTCCTAAAGCAAAGCATCCAAATAAATGTCACTGACCGCCTTGTTTGCGCATCTTACTGGGGTTAGCGTTCCCTTTTGATGGTGTCTCCAATCTTCACACCTGTACTGGCGCCACGACATGCGCTTTGATCTTGATACCATTTCAAGAGCAGTAAGCAGGAAGTGGGTACCTGCTGCTTACTGCTCTTGCAAAAGACCAGAGTTGGGGTCCCAGCACCCAGGGCGTGGGGCTCACAACATCCTCTATCTCCGGCTCCAGAGCATCCGAGGCCCTCTGGTCTCTGGGGAAACTGCACTCACATTCACGGTCTTTAAGCTGAAGCCTTCACTCTCCAATTGGCAGCACACAGGGTGACTCCCATTTTCCTTCTTAAAATGTTCTGGCCCCCCACCCCCTGTTATGGAAGCCAAGAATTAGGTCCCAGGTCCTATTGCCAATTTGCCTGTGATTTTATTGCTTTTATTTTGCTGGAAAATATTTTCTAGAAGCTTCTATTGGGGGAGAACTCCGAACACCCATAGAAGTGTAGACTCTGCACACTTCCATATGTGAAGATGGCAGTAAACACACTTTGGAAGTTCTAGAACATTCTGTATAGTGTGATCTGTGATCTCATCTTGGAATGCGACCGAACATGGGTGCTGGATATTCAGACTCAGGTCCTCAGGCTTGTACAGAAAGCTCTCTTACTCACTGAGCCCTCTCTCCAGCTTCCTTTAAAATTTGAGATGGGGGTCTTACTAAAGTGTCCAGGCTAGCTTTGACTTTGTTGTGTAGCACAGGCTAGCTTCAGTCTTGTGATCCCCCTGCCTCAAGCTCTAAAGTAGCTAGGATTGCAGGAATGTGTGTTGTGCCTGACTTAGGAAGTAGTTTTGTGTATGTGGTATTGTTTTTGAGCAGTTAAATGTTTTACAGTGAGTCCTGGGACTAAACCAGAGAACTGGAGTCACACACACACACACACACACACACACACACACACACACACACGCATCCCCCTACTCTATAGATCTGCATCTCTGGATTCAGCCAAGTTTGAATGAGTAGATACTAGACCCAGTGACCATGACCAGGAATTTTATCAGCATTTTACAGCAAGGAGACCAGAACAGTTTGTACTGGGAGCCTCGGATGCTTCATGGATAGCGGATCCTTTTCCTCTGCCAAACTTTGCTTGCTGGACAGGAGAGGTGGATCAAATGGGGTTTCAGTGTGTGCCTGTAATGACAGTACCTGAGAAGCTGAGGCAGGAGGATGCCTGGGACTTGCTGATTAGCAAGGCTAGCTGAGTCATTGAGCTCCAGGTTTAGAGAGCGACCCAGCTTCAGAAAAATAAAGTTGAAGCCGGGTGGTGGTGGCACACATCTTTAGTCTCAGCACTTGAGAGGCAGAGGCAGGGGGAATCTATGTGAGTTCCAGGACAGCCAGGGCTACACAGGGAAACCCTGTCTCAAACAAACAAACAACAAAAAGTAATGTTGAGAGTGATAAATACATCTGACATTGGCAATGACCTCTGCCTGATATAGTGCATGCACGCACACACACATACACACAGAGAGAAATGTGTACACACACAAACACAACTTCACATGGAAACTGACTGCTTTCATTTTGTTCAGAAATAAATATTTTTTAGAAGCTTCTTTTAGAAGGATTCTCCAAACACACACAAAAGTTTGCCTCTGTCCACGTCCATGTGTGAAGATAGTTTTGTAAGTTGCAGAATAGTCTGTACAGTGTGATGTCATTTATGGAACACAGCCCCGCCCCCAACCGTGTAGTCCAGGGATGGAGTCCGAGTCCACTCCCTTGTATACGTTAGACAACTGCTCTGCCACTAAGTCACACCCCTGCCCTTAAAACTATTTTTATTAAAAAACCATTAGCTACTTTGGCGTATCTGTGTGTGAGTATGGCCCATGCGTGTGTGGTGTGTGTGCACACGTGTTTGGATGTGCATCCTTTCCTGCACATGTGATGTCCAGAGGAGAACGCTCTGCGTCTGTACTGTCCCCTCTGTCACGCTCACTCTCTGCCTTACCCCCCCCCCACGAGATGGCCTCTTACTGAAACTGGAACAAGGCTGGCAGTCAGTAACGCCCAGACACCTTCCTGTCCCCGCTTGTGTCCCCCCTGCTCTCCCCTGGGTTGAGCTTAAAGGTGTGTCCCCCATGTCTGGTTTTGTATGTGGGGACCGAGGATTCAAACTCAGGTCCTCAGGCCTGTGCAGCAAGCCCCCTTAACCACTGAGCTCTTTCTCTACAGCTCCTTTTAAAGCTTCTTTTTGGGACAGGTCCTCACTAAGGTGCTTGGGCTTGTCTAGGACAGTCCTTGGTCCTCCCACCTCAACCTTCCAAGGATGGGATTATAGGCATATGTTGCTGGACCTGGCTTGGAAAATTGGGTGTGTGTGTGTGTGTGTGTGAGAGAGAGATGCTCTTTTCTTGAGACATTAAATATTATACAGAGAGTCTTAGCGCAAGACCAGAGTCACATAAACCCCTCCCATGAATCTATGGATTTGCATCTGTGGATTAGACCAACTTTGGACTGAAGCAGCAGAAGCAGCTTGAGTGCATTCTTGTGTGTGTGTGTGTGTGTGTGTGTGTGTGTGTGTGTGTGTGTTCAAATGTTGCTGAGAAGGGAACCCAAGGCCTCGTGCAGGGCAAGCGCTGGACCAGCTGAACTTTATCTTCATCCCTTGTTATTCTTTTTCCGTTTTTGTGTGTGCATTGCGTTCTTGTATGTGTATGTTTGCATATGCATGTGTGCACGTGTGTTCGTGTGTGTTTGTGCACGCGTGAGTGTGCACGCGCGTGTGTGCCTGTGTGAGTGTGTGTGTTCATGTGCGTGTGTGTGTGCTCGAGTGTGTTGTGTGTGTTCATGTGTGTTCGTGTGTTGTGTGCATGTGTGTGTGCGCGCTGTGTGTGGTGCACTGGGATGTGGGTGCAGAGACAGAGAGACCAGGTTGGTGTGGAAATCACCTTCAGTGGTTCTTTCATCTTGTTCACTGACGCAGGTTGTTTCAATCAAATGCAGAGCTTGCTGATGTGGCTAGTCTTGCTGCCCAGCTTGGTTTGGGCATCCTCTGTTTCCCAGTGCTGTAATTACAGGCTGGTCACCATGCCACCTGGACTTTATGTGGGTTCTGGGGATCCGAACACCAGTCCCCACGCGTGTGGGGGTAGTATTTAACCAGTGAGCCATCTCTCCAGTCCTATTTTGTCATGGAGCCTCCAGGACAGGATGCCTGGGTCTGTGTAGGGGAAATCCTGTGTCACCCCTGGTCTCTCTCACCTCCAGACACCACCGTCAAACATGAAGCTGCAATGATGTATCCACTGATGGCATTGAAGCCCTCATGATACAGTCACCTGACTGTCACTGGCTCTTTGGTCACCTCTATTAGAAGCCCAGTATAGACCAGTGTCGAAGTTGCTTTGACAAAACTACAGTGAAGCCTCTTAATTTTTTTTTTTGAGGACTGTTTCAAGTACAATCTTAGTGGTCTCCCAAGATCCTTGCCAGATGGTCTTGTCCTGATGGCAATCTTTTACAAGATGTTTAATTGCCCAGAGCCTGTTTTTCTGGTCCATATGATGAGGATCCCACAGA